TTCTCAGCCCATTGGGTCTTCCTTCATATGTTGGCTTTGCTATTTGACCCTAATTCATTATTTATATAACACCAACCATCTCAACAAACTTTATACAGTAGTGTACAGCATGCTTACTTCAATCCATATTCATTCAATATCTATTCCATCTCTTATTTTACCATGCATGCTTCTTAAGCTTTCTGATTCTACTGCATTCAACTTACTTTTACATTTCTCATGACATACCCAAATTTCATTTCTTTGTGGCAAAGTGGACAAAAATGTTTTTTTATAGGAAGTCATTTTTGTTTCTTATGGCAAACATTCATCGCCTACAACAGAGATCTCCAAACTTGGCAATGTTAAAACTTGGGGGCTTCAACGCTCATAATTCCCCAGCCAGCCTTGCAAAAATATTGGCTGGGGAATTCCAGGAGTTGAAGTCCACATGTCTTAAGGTTGCCATGCTTGGAGATCCCAACCTCCAACAATCCATAGCAGAGGTGTCCACAGCTAGTCATAAATATTCAAAATGACAAATGTGCATCATGACACTAACATGAAAGGAGTAGATATAGAGTTTTCATATATTTCATCACTTGCCCCCTTATCCACCTTGAGGATGCTCATGGACAAGAAAACCTCTCTACCAGCATTTACACATCTTAAAATTTATACGCCCACTTTTACTTATTTTCCACCAGGCAACACGAATTAAGAAGTAGACATTTTTTAGCAGCATTAAGAATTTAATAAATGAAGTTCATGCAATCGTTGCTGTTTGCAAAAACTTGAAATTAAATTAGCATAACTAGTTTAATTTATTTAGTGTATGGCATCTATAGAAGTCATGCAATCACTGATATATAAATTTAGTTTAAATAAAGTGCCTTTGTGTGTCTCTGTGTGCATATACATATATACATATACATACATATATACATATGTACTATATATATGTTTTCTGAGGTTTTCATACCCCCACTGGCAATTAAAAGGAAGAAACAGCTATGATCACACATTGCTCCTAGAAGCATGAAGCCGAAAACACCAGCCTGAAGATGAATGAGACTTCATCGAAACGTCGCCAAGACACTTCCAATTTGACACGGGAGAAAACCTGAATAACCAAAGACACCCCCCCTCTCCCTCTCTCTCCCTCTCTCTCTATGTGTGTGTGTGTGTGTGTGTGTGTGTGTGTGTGTGTATGTGTGTATGACTAGAAATATGAGTAAAAATTTGACTCTTGGGTATGTCCATATTGCTAAAATAACGATCACCCAAGAGAGTAAGAAAATAGAATTTAATCAACCTAGCTTTTGTCGATAACTCTCGACATCGTCAGGGTTAAAAGGCAGAACAGTGCATGATGGAGTGCAGGAAAGGAATGGGAAAGGAACGCGCATTGACGAAAGGGGTGTATTTAGAGCGCAATTCGATCAGCTGGGGCCGGTGATGCGCTACAAGAGCCGGAAACAGACGTTTAGCGATCATATATAGGTTCTCTCTCAGCATTTGCCTTTTAACCCTGATGATGTCGAGTTATCGACAAAAGCTAGGTTGATTAAATTCTATTCTCTTACTCACTCTCTTGGAGATCATTATTTTAGCAATGTGTGTGTGTGTGTGTGTATGAGAAAAAACTATTAAATTAAAATGAAACCATAATAAAATCACCATAATATGGAGACACAGCATAACGATTTAATAAAGTCAACATAACAGTTGTTAATAATGGAAAATGTCACTCATATAGAGCAAAAAATGCCATAATTGGCCATGGATTTCCAGGTCAACTGTCCCTAGGAATTATGTTACATTCTGTACCAAAGCTTTCATCTCTGACTCAGATATTTAATGTTCTGACTAAAGTACTGTACACCACTGTGCCTTTTTGAGAAACAAAAGTGCCCTTTAGCTGATTTGATAAACACCAAAAACCAAGTTTCCATTTAGGAAAAAAAAAAAAAAACCTATCATGGTCAGCAACAGATTAGTGTCTGTTGGGGTTAGTAACATCTTAAAAGTCTTCTTACATATCACAAGACATTCCTTAATATTACTGTGCCATTACAAGCGAAACAATAAGAGTCATTATTTCCTTTCCATCTACTTATATATATATTTCCTTTTTTACAGCAATACTTGTCTACTAATAATTTTACATGTAAAGCAACTTCAAGAATTAATGCACTGATAGAGAGGCCAGACCAAATCTTTCTCTTGCTTAGTTTAGATTTAGAACATAGAATAAAAAGGGTTGGAAGGAACCTTGGGGGTCCACTCTGGACAAATGGCTGTTCAATCTCTTCTTGAAAACGTCCAGTGATGGTATTAAATCCAGGTTTACAAAATTACCAAGATGACAAATCCAAAAGAACTTGGATTATTTTGCATGCACATCCAAACATTTTCATAATAATCACTTTACTCCAAATTTAAGTACTATATAGGTAGTCCTCAACTTACGACCACATTTGAGCCCAAAACCTATGTTGGTAAGCAAGACAGTTAAGTGAGTTTTGCCCTATTTTATGATCATTCTTGACACAATTCAGAGAATCACTGCAGTTGTAATGTTAATAACACAATTTCTGAATGAATCTGGCTTCCCTACTGACTTTGCTTGTCAGATGGTAGCAAAAGCCGATCACATGACCTCAGGATATTGCAACTCTCATAAATATAAACCAGCTGTCAAGCATCCAAATTTTGATCACATCACCATAGGGATACTACAATGGTTGTAAGTGTGAAATATGGTCATAAGTCACTTTTCAGTGCCGTTATAACATTGAATAGTCACTAGACAAATTATAAGTCAAGGACTACTTGTACAGGCAACAATCCCCTTTTCTAATTAAAATGATAACAAAGTAAGAATTATTGTAATCTAAGATTAACCACTGAATCTAAGCCACTGGATTTTTAATGTACAATCCTAACATAACATCTAATAAATGCTACTAAATAGTGTGGGACACTGAAGGAAACATAGGACTGCAACTGGATTAATTTCCACACAATATTTAAGAAAAAAATGTTTGCCATATTCCCAATTAAGTTATACTCATTTAAATATCTGGTTATAATAGGGAACAGCAACCAATGTTTATTTAAAGGCAGACATAAAAAAAAGATTAAGAATTGAATTTCATTTAACCAATGCATTCATTTGACTTGACAGATTTCCCTCAGTTTTCAACTAACATTCAAGGATAAAGCTTCTTGCTCTATATATCATGTTAATGAGTGCTGTAAGTGGCATCAGGTGATCCCAATTTGTTTCCAAAATCAACCAGCAAATTCCCCAAACAAATTAAACAGGATCAGGAGGAACTGGAGTGCTGGGGGGAAGGAGAGGCAAATAAGTCAAAATGGCCACCACAAACAAAACCATGCCCCTTTTGACATGCTTCTCACATGACATGTATAAAAAGGGGTATATTTTCAGCCACCATCTTGACTGTTTTGACCCTTTTGCCCTTGCAAGCACCCCATAAAGAAATCATTGTTACAAGTACTCAATGCCAAAAGCTGCCATTCTTCTGTGTTATCAGACCAAATGCTCAGACAGCAAAAGGGAAAAAGATTTTTTTTTTTTAAAGATGCTACCTTATATTGATTTTTTATTGGCCAGTTTCTGAGGTTGGAAACAACAGTAGAGGCCTTCTATCTATTGTGCCACTCACAGCCCCAAATTCTCCTCAAAAGCAATTTCCTCTATAGTGCTCCATAGAGAAGTGATCTTATGGGAAAAAGAATTTTCTGTGGGATACTTTTCGCATCCAGAAGAAATATAATTTGATGGATTTAGGGAAGGATATTATGGTCCAAATCTTTTGCTTCAGATGAACCCAGTGAAAAACCACCTGTGGCTGTGAGATAACTTGAGCCACCATTTCCCCACATCCTTCTGTTAGAATGCAAATGGAGCTAAAGGAACATGTATGGATTATTTAGTTTATGCTATACTAAATGCATTCCCTTTTAAAGACTGAGAAGTTCACGACAGAATCTTTATTTCAGCCCACCAACCATTTATTTATTTAAAACATTTATATTTATTTATACCTTGCCTGTACTATTTTCACAAATTAACTCAAGGCAGCTAGCGTATCCATCACACCTTCCTTTTTATCTTCTCCACAACAATAACCTTGCAAGGTAGGCTGGGCTTAGTGTGATTGGCTCAAAGTCACTAAGCCAGCTTTAAGGCAGGACTTCAACTCTTGCTTTCTTACCTGGTGCCTTAAGCACTAGAACCAAACTGGCTCTTTTTCTATATATATAGGGTTAAACATATAGAAGCAGAATCTTCATTCCAACCCCAACCATTTATTTATTTATTTAAAACATGTGTATAGGAAGCAGAATCTTCATTTCAGCCAGCTGATTCCAGTTTTCCTGTAAAGAAAAGACTCTTTTGTGTCACAGATGGTGGGCTTCTATGGACCATTCTGGAGAAAGGAGGTGGCCTGAATTTGTAACCCATAGTTGGTTGTAAGCCAACCAGAAAAATAAGGAAGACCTCTAACTTCAGCCTTCATGGAAGCTAAGGGGTTAAAGTTTGAATTGCTCCCACATTCCTTCAACCAACTGCTTTGGTTCTCCAACTAGCCCATCCACTTTTGGGGTGCCAGAGTCTGGGGCAGGGAGGGAACCCCATTACTACTACTCCCCAAGTGTAGACTCATTCCTGTCACCCATTATCCATTCCCCGAGAGTGCAATCCCCAAACATGGCTCTAAGGCCCCTATTCTCACTGCAAATGCAGACTGCACGTGCCCAGAGGCACCGCCGCCTTGCTACCACACCCAGCGTCCCACAGCTGATGTTTAGTTTTCAATGGGGAGGGGGGAGGAAAAAAAACTAAAGCAACACCAGCGCGGGACGGTCAAACTACTGCTCCTTCACCCCTTTTCACCGTTCCTTTGTATCTAGGCTTGCGTAAGCTGCCAGTAGTCTTCTCCCACCCGCGTCAGCGTGTTCATACGTTCTCCTGACTCGCGTCTTACCGTCGATATTCTCCCGGTCGCTGATATGCGGCAGGTTGCAACCCGTGTCGTCGCGGCTCAGCTCGGTATCGGGCCGGTACGACTCCAGCCGTGAATGGGCATTCCTTCGCAGTTTGGGGCTGGACGAGACGCAGCAGGAGGTCGCGTTCCCCATGTTCTCTGCCGCCGGGACCGGCCAGGCAATCGAGAGAGGCTGGACCCAGGCGGGGTAGACGAACAGGAACGGAGGAGGCGGGACGGGGAGGAGAAACCAGACGGGAACGAAGGCGGTGGCGGGAGTTACCAGCGGCTGGTGTGGTGTGAAGCCATAAACGGGTTGGAGAACCAGCACCTCCGCTGGAGGAGGAGGAGGGGGCGGCGGCGGCGTGTATAGTGGCTCTGGTTCCCACTCGGCCGGCTCTGCTGGTGCTGTGTCCGGAGGCTCATATAACCTCCTGCACCGGCAGTGGCATGCACTGCTGCAAAACTGGGTTAAGTCGGCCGTCGTGCAAGCTGTTCGTGCTGCCGCTGAGGAAGAGGAAGAGGAGGAGGCGGGTGCAATCTTAACGCCATGGCCGGCCGCTTTAAATCTTCTCAGCTGGCCGGGACCGGTGGCTTCCAGCCAGTGGCCTGCAGGAAAGGGGGAAGAGGAGGAGCAGCCCCGGAGAGGTTCTTCCTTCCCCAGCAGCAACAGCAGCAGCAAACCTCCGGGCTGCCTTTTTGCAAAAATGGTTCCGGTTCAAGTGGGTGGGAAGGTCGGTGCCTAGCTTGCTGCCAAGCGGGAGGGCGGTCAGGCAGGCAAACCGGGCGAGGCGAGGCGAAACCAGCTGCCCTAGATCTCGGGGTAAGGTCCAGGATCGCCTCTCTTCGCCTGCCACTGCATTGGCAGCTCCGGCGCAGCAGATGTGCCAATGCCACCTCGTGGAACACTTGGGGCGCGTGGAGCTCCTGCGTTGGCATCCCCCTGGACCGGCTAAATACGTGATAATTGATCGGGGAGTTGGGGGGGGGAATTTAAAAAGAAGAAAGGAGTAATTTCTAGTTTTCAGGTAAGGAATGAATGTGTTGCCTCCATCTGAACTGGATGAGGCATCTTTTTGCCCCTTTCTACCACTGAACTCTGTGGGCTGGATAAGGGATTGGGTAGTATTGGTTCAGCCAGTAGTAGAAGACCCCATCTATTCCCTTGGCCTGCTGTGGGATCCAAACCATTGATTATCAAAATGCAGATGACAGATCCAAGCATAGCATGTTTCCGAATGCCCAGGTGGCTCTTGTTAACTCTATAAGTAGTCCTCAACTTACCACCATTCATTTAGTGACCTTTAAAACTTACAACAGCACTTCAAGAAGTGTCTTATGACTACACTTATGATTGTTGCAGCATCCCCATGGTCACGTAATCAAAATTCAGATGTTTGGCAACTGGTTCATATGTATGAGTACAGGTAATCCTCGACTGACAACAGTTTGTTCAAAGTTACAACTACGCTGAAAAATGTGACTTATGAACAAATATCAAAATTCAGATGCCTGGCAACTGATTCATATTTATGACCAGGTTCACTTTTACAACCTCCTGGCAAGCAAAATTAATGGGAAAGCCATTCACTTAACTATCAGGTTACTAACTTATCAACTGCAGTGATTCACTTAAGACCTGTAGCAAAAAAAGTTGTAAAATGGGGCAAAACTTACTTAACATATGTCTCGCTTAACAGAAATGTTGGGCTCAATTGCAATTGTAAGTCGAGGATTACCTGTATTGCAGTGTCCCAGGACATGTGACTTGACCAGCAAAGTCAATGGGAAAGCCAGATTCACTTAACAACTGTGTTGCTAACTTAACAACAATGATCCACTGAACAGAAAAAAGTCATAAAATGGGCTGTCTCGCTTAGCAACAGAAGTTTTGGGCTCCATTTTGGTTGTAGGTTGAGGACTACCTGTATGCATGAGTTTCCCATGTTGTGTAAACCTATCCCTTATAACAGAGGTCCTCAATCTTAGCAACTTTAAGACTTGTGGACTTCAACTCCCAGAATTCTAGGAGTTTAAGTCCACAAGTCTTAAAGTTGCCAAGGTTGAGGACCCTTGCCTTATAAGGTAGCAATCAGAACAGTAATTGGCTGGGGTGAGATTATTTTTCTCATTAAATTTGTACTATCTTTTGTTTTCCAGGAGCTCAGGTCAGCATATCAAGCATGGCTGTTTTCGGCTTTTCCCAAAATAAAATCCTTGTGAGATAGTTTGGTCTAAGATAGTGACTGGGCCTGAACCATTCAATGTGTTTCCATGATGGACTGATCTCAAACACCCATTTTCTTGGGCTTCGTAATTGTTTCAGGTAACCAGCCCCCACAATTTATTTTTTTATTTATTAATCACATTTATATAGCTGCCAATCTCACAGAAGGTAACTCAATGGTGTACAACAACTCAGTATAACAATAAAAATATAAAATTGTTCCTTTATTTTTACAATCAAAAAATGTAAAAATAATCCCAATAGCAGAGGTAGCACTCAGTTGATCAAAAATGTGAGCAAATAGACCAAGAGGATTTTTTTCAAAAAAAAAAAAAAGAGAGAGAGAGAGAGAAAGATGACTGGTTATCTATGAATAAATATATAATATTTGAAAATAGATACAAATATTTTAAATGCTCATATTAAATATTTTGGTTCAGAACCACTTGTCTATAGATGAAGGCCAGAAAGCAAGAAATCATGAGACCATGAAAGCCAGCTGGGTGATCTTGGGCAGTCATTTTCTCAACCCAGCTTACCTCACAGGATTGTTGTTGGGGGAAAAATAGGAAGAGGAAGCTGGATTGGGTAGGTTCATTTCTGAATCGTTTGTAAAAATAATAAATATTAAAGCCAATGAACATAATTAATATATAATAGCCCACTTAGATTAAATATTTTTCATTGAATTAATTCCTTGATCAAAGTAATTTCCATTTTAAACTGAACCCATGAAAGTTACCTACTTTAAATAGTTAAATATTAATATTTAATCTTATTAGTACTTAAACTTATAATTAAATATTTGTGTTTAATATCAGTATTTAATAAGGTAGTATTTAATCTAAAATACACAAAGTGTATTTTAAATACAGGTGATCCTTGGATAATGGTGGTAATTGAGAACCAGAATTTTCATTGCTAAGTGATACGATTATAAAATGTGATATCACATGACCGCATCTCTTAGCAAGGATACCAGCATTGATGTTGCCATCATTAAGCAGGCATCCTAGTTAAGTAAGTCCCAGGCAGCCCACAAAAAGGCAAGTAGATGGTGCAAGAGCAGCAGGGCCAAAAGTGTCTTTTACCAGGTGGCAGAGAATGCCAGCAGCTTACCAGAGCAACATCTATGGAGATTCTCAATCATCAAGGTCATGGTTGTCCCAAAAGACAATTGGACTTTGTTTTTTTTTCTTTTAAAAATGTTTTGTTTCTCATCCAGAAAGCTTCTTCAGTTCGAACTGACTGGTGGGGAATGGAAGGATTTTTATTCTTTGCAATCATCTGAGGGTTGATCATAAGCTCTCTGAGAGTCATGAAGGCCACTTGGGGGTTTATCCTCAGAGTCATCTAATGCAAAGATGCCCAAACTTTTGGGCACCAGAAACCGTTTCTGTGGAGAGAGGTTTTTCTGTGGACCGAAGGGGACATGTTTTCATGTATTGCCTGCATCCCAAGGATGGGGCTTTGTTTGTGTGGATCGGTTTCTGGCATGCCATGGCCTGGTGCCAGTCCACGGACCGGGGGTTGGGGACCCCTGATCTAATGTATATGAATGTGGATGTGGAACCTTCTTGGAACTGCTAAAAGGATGATGTTGTGCCCTCCCCTCTCTGGTATCCCTTCTCCCTCTGTTGTGTCTCTCCTCCCTCTGTTGAAGGAGGGCTGTTCAACTTTAACAAAAAAGGCCTCATTAACTCCTTATTAAGGTACTTATCAGAGCAAGGTATAACCTCCCCTGTCAGCTTCCCATTGACTTTTTGGAATATCAGCAAGAAAGGTCGCAAATGGTATTGGGATGGTAGGAACTTTGAGGACCGGTCATAATATAATTAAAATTAATCCTGAGAATTTATACGTGTGTGCTCTTTTTCCAGTACTTCACGAGCTATAGTAAAAATTATTTATGTTCCAATAATAAAAAGTCCTACATCCCCATAATAAAAAGGTGCACTTTGAGGCATATAAAGGAGCTAGAGACATGTAACATGTGATTTCTTGACAATTAGAAATGTAATCTCTCCCCTTTCTCTTGTTTCTCTCTGTGTCTCTGTCTCTTTCTTCCCTCCCCCCTCCACTTTTACAACCTGCTTTGCTCAGTTGGGATCTAAGATTAAGCATACTGTATTTCATTCATACTTAATCATGTCCCATTGCAAAGTGTTAAATAACTGATATGAAATGACATCTTTCACGACTTGAGTCCCACTGAGGCTTGTAGGATTACAATATCTGTCAGATAGTTCCAAAGACATTTCTAGTTATCCCTTTACAGCTAAATACACACGTGGGAAAAATAAACATCAGAAAGTTGTATTTAAAGGCTAGTTTCATATGAGTGATATGTGGAAATATACATATGTGACAATCTGCATTTGAAAGCTTAAAGTATATGAAAGAATAATATGAGTTCTGTCTATGGTGATAAATTAAAAGCTTAGGGAAAATCTGCTACTCAGTCAATGGAATTATTCATTTTCCTCTCTAGTATTCAAATAGAGAGCATTGTATAGATCTATGGCAATGGTTTAATAAGAGACAGTCTACTGATTTAACATTATACATATATAATGTATATATGTATATTTGCTCCTCGAAGCACGAAGCTGAAGACACAAGCCTGAAGATGACGAATGGGACTTCATCGAAACGTCGCCAAGACACTTCCAATTTTATGCGGGAGAAAACCCGAACAACCAAGACCTACATACAAACACCCGCGAAAACCTCAGAAAACAAATATATATATATATATATATATATATATATATATATATATATATTATATATATATATATAGAATAGAGCTGGAAGGGACCTTGGAGGTCTTCTAGTGCAGCCACCCCCCCCCCCGCTTAAGCAGGAGAACCTATACCATCTCAGACAAGTGTCTGCTAGTCTCTTCTTAAAAATCTCCAGTGATGGAGCACCCATGATTTCTGGAGGCAAGCTGTTCCACTGGTTGATTGTCCTCACTGTCAGGAAGTTTCTCCTTAATTCCAGGTTGCTTCTCTCTTTGGTCAGTTTCCAACCATTGTTTCTTGTCCTGTCGTCTGGTGCTTTGGTGAATAATGTGACCCCCTGTTCTTTGTGGCAGCCCCTCAAATACTGGAACACTGCTATCATGTCTCCCCTATTTCTTCTTTTTTTTTAGTCTAGCCAAACC